ATTTCGGTAATTTCATGGAATTAGGCTTAACATCAAGAAACCCTCCGGCCCTGGGGAGACACACGCTAGAGAGACTGCCGGCCTCAGCGGTAAGCGCGCTTTCGCGCTTTGCGTCGCGAAAGGGTTAAGCACTTTTTAAAAACACGCCATGAAAAAAGCATCTTTAAGGGCTTTTAAAAAACGAAAATCGAAAATAAGCACCTTTAAGCACTTTTTAAAAACGCTACGCACCCTGTTAAAACCGAATTTTAATTATTGATTAATATTTTGCAACACATCTTTGGAAATAACCTTTACTTTCGGATTAGATATTCTGAAACAGAGTCCACTTTAGGCTGAGAGAAGAGAAGAGCAAAGATCAAAAGTCGTTATGTTGGAGCAGGAAGAAAAATAGAAAAGGGGTGGTATTCAAATTCCCACCCACCAAAGGCAGTAAAACGAAACTTAAGTCAGTGGCACAACACACAGATGTTAAAATACACATAATTCCAGTCTCTCGGAACCTTGTGTTTGCAGAGGCACAAAAATTCCAGAAATGCTTTCCCACTTTGGGGAAAGGAACAGAGGAGAAGGGAAATGAAAAATGTTGACTGGAATCGTAAACATTGAAGTTTTAGATGAGAAGCGGGAGATATGATGATCCTCAAATAGTGCTCTTTTATCTTCTTTTTTTTTATTTCTATGTTCTGTGGAGAGTTAGAAGTAATTTTCTTCCAAACCCAAGCGGAACGATAATGTAGAAGTAATATTAAAAAAGAGAGAGAAATGGACTACGAAATAGGATTCAAGTGAAATGGGATCTCAACAAAATAACTGAACTCAATAGCCAGTGATTTGCAAACACATAAAGTTACAATTTAAATTCGTAAAATTTTGCGAAGCAACAAAATGAAATGTATTTATTAAGTCAAAAAATAAAATCCATGTGTTGCAACGTAAATAAAAATAATTATTTTTAAGAAAATAAGAAACTCAACAGTTCATAATGATGCAAAAATTCATTATTTTAATTTTTTCTCTGCACTCTGCTTAAAAAACTTAACATTGTAAATTTTAAAATAACTAGGTTTTTTAGTTTTCGTAATAACTATATTAAACCTACAATTTTAGTAATTTTTGAACATGTTATACCATATCATTATATTTGTTGCAACCATAATGGCGCAAAGTTGAACCCTATTTTGAGAGATTTTGGGTAGAGTCACGTTAACCGTAACGATAACCTTATTTTCTGCCCACAGGCGTATATATTAGAAATTTTTACGCATGCGCTGTGAAGCTCAAATAATATAAACGATAGCGTTACTGTGAATTATAACATTTTGCAAAACTTTTCTACCATTGTACAATTTTAACTTAATTATATGACATTGCTCAACTTGCACAGAAAAATGATTAAATTTAACACCTTGTTAAGGTGTAGAAAAATTTTACACTATATCAAGAAACGATTTTTTTTTTCGGGCAGAGCACATCAGAACTCTTGGGCTAACTTACAGCGTATTTTATATTTTCTCTTTTAAAAACATTTGGCCAAACACGCATGAAGACGAAGGATTTGAAATTAACGTCATCGAGCAAGATCGTGCTTTTTTAGAAATTTTGGAGAATGTTGAACCATAGTATCGATTATATTTGGTACAATCTTAATGTAGTATCAAGTTGAACCAAAATATCACCCAGATTTCCGAGTTTAATACTGTAAAAAATTGAAAACCAGTTATCATCCAAATTTAATACAACCTTAATAAAGTACCAAGTTGAACCATAATATCGGTTCAATTTTCTACAATCTTAAAGCAGTATCAAGTTGGAATTTGTAACAATCTTAAGATTGTACAAAATTGAACCATGTTATCTACATTCAATATACTCCTCAAATTGAACTATAAGATTGGCAAAATTCACAACAATTTTAATGCAATATCATGTCAAACAACGTTATCATTCAAATTTGCTACAATCTAAATGCAGTACCAAGTTAAACCATATTACAGATCAAATTTGCTACGATTTTCATGCAATAACCAAATTGAACCATATAATCATGCAAACTCATTTTTCTTTAACTTGATAAACTATAATATAACTCAACTTAAGAGAAAACATAGTCCGATTTAAAATTTATTAACAGTCATGCAGCAAGTCAGCTTTGTATTATGGTTGCGTTGATTTTAATTAACTACCACAGTGTTATTTTTTTAAAAAGCAAAATGATATATACCAACGCATTATTGTAATGTTAATAACATATTTAATAGAAGAAAAGGAAATCCGAACAAAATTTTAAGGGAAAAAAAAAAAAAAAAAACGGAATAAAAATTTTTGTTTTAAATTTCAAAACATAAATTAATTCAAAAGATTGATTAACTTCTTTATTGTCCGTACAAAGCTACCGAAGCATAGAATTGAATATAAAAACAAAATTCTTTCTCAATCTTTTAAAAATAAAAAGACCAAAAAAAAACGTATCTAGAGGGGAGGAGTTTGAATTGAGAAATAAATTTGTAATCCTTTACGAGGGGTGGGGGTTACGTGTTCGAGTCCATAATAAACCAAAAGAATTGATATCGACAACGACATTATTTAAGAAAAAAGAAGAACTACAGAGCAAATAAAGTTAGAGCTCGTTTTATCCCATGCCTTTTTGTTTGAATTTATTATTTTTGTTATCGTGCAGGAATTCTAGTATTATTATTTTTTATGCGGTGTTTTTCTCCTTTGCTTGTCGTTATCTTTTCGCCAAAAGCAACTGGATTCTAAATTTGAAACGATGTTGAGTAAAGAATAAACGACGAAGAAAAAAAAGATCACGTCCCTCCTCCCTTCCTTACAATCTTTTAAATCACGTAGAAGCCAAACGATTTTAGTCCATCTTCATTCACTGTCCCGTTTGTCAAACCAAGAGGGGTGGTGTAAGTTGTTCGAAATATTCTATTTTGTTTTCTATTCATCGACAGGAACAACAGACACATATTGCGGATGTGCAGCAGTTGTAAGCTATGTTCGATTTCTTAAACTTGTAATTGTCAACCAATTTCAGATGACAGGGGGACATTCATAAATATTGCTTTGAATGAACATTTAGAATGAATTCAGCAGAATATCTCATTCGTCGATATCTATATTTTATTTTGTTACTTGCCGATCATTTAAGGTTCCATAAACAAAACAAAACAAAAAAAAATCATTATTTAACAAAGTGAAGTTATTTATTTACTCAAATATCCAACGAAAACAATGAGTTGCGGTTTAATTTGTAAACGTTCCCCTGCCTCATCCTAAATCATTCAACATTCATCTAGAAATCGTTTTAATATATAAAACCTCGCAACTGAGGGAAGAATAGAAATGCATGTTATACAACGGCATTTCGATAACCGAGGGGCACTTGGAAACTAAAGAACGATTTTTTATTTCATCAACACTATAGGACAAAAAGAATAAATTATTAACCATAAAATATGAAAGAGAATTAAGAGCTTTTTTCGTTCTCTTCTATGATTTCGAATAATTAACGACATCTATTTGTTCTGAAGCCTATGTTATCCTGATTAATTATGAGAATAATTATAATAATTTCATGAAAGCTTTATACAATTTTAATTTGTTTTACGTTTATAAACAAAGATTAAATGTTCATTGCATAATTAAGGAAAACAATGTAAGAAATCATTATTTCATCTTTTTTTTATCCTTGAAAAAAAATTTATCTCATTCTTTTCTTAGAATAACTATAATTAGTTATTGTTCATGAGCGTTAGTTACAAAGTTTATTTAGATATTTATATATATCCCTTTACCTATCCTATCTTAATTAAATTCGAATAATCCTACGTTAGGTGATTAAATCTCCATATTAATAATTTTTAAAAAAAATGCTAAAACATAATGAAAATATAAATTTTTGTTTAGTTCTAAATGTAACGCATATTAAAATTGCGACATAAACAATAATTCTAACAAAATTGATAGTTTTAAAAATCAAAACAAATTTTTACAAGCTTAAAAATCAGAACAAGTTCTAAAATGTATGTATGCACTATGTAGTAATATGTATGCACTACAGAACGGTAAACACTTTTTGAATCAAAAACTGTAGGGGTGTGCTTACTGTTCGCAGTTCCCTTTAAGTAGTTATTTTTATTTAATTCATAAAATGTTTTTATTAAAATTTATATTAAAATAATTTCAATTTTTAAGCTTTAAAAATACCAGATTATTTTATAGGAAAAACAGACAAATCTTTTTTTTAAAAGCATTAATTAATAAATGGAAAAAATATATATATAACTAAAAAAAAAAAATGCAAAAAATGCAAAACTTCACATTTTTATTACAAAAACTAAAACATTCTAAAACGTTCTTATGCAAAATTATAAAAGCATTAAGATAAAATATATTATTACGTAAAACAAATAAAAACGTTTGCTCACGCAAAATTTAAAACTCAAAACTCTCCCCAAACTACAAAATAAATCAATTTCAATTTTCCTAAACAACTTCCAAAATCTTATTTTTCTACTCTTAATTCCTCTTTCCGAAAATAAAACTGGGAATTCCATCAAGTATACATCTGAAAGCGCCAAACGAAAACATCCATTTTACAAATGGCAGGGCAAATAGAAAAGATAATCACGAATTTTAATTGAGAATCTTATCACTCGAAATGCGCCTAAATAAAAACAACAAAAACAGCACGAGTCAAATAAGTTAATCTGAATTTCTTTATGAAAATCTCCCAAACCCCTCCCCCCTTCATACCAGCTTCCTGATTACAATATCCGTCATATTGAGAGATATACATAAAAGAAGAAGGGAAAAAAAGAAACTTCTCAGCTACAGAATCCTTAATTAGCTAATTGTGAAAAGCCTCGCTCAAAATCTTCTTGCTATAGGGTTTTAACATGATTATTATTCTGTCGCTACCATGCAATTAAGTATGGCATAACCAACTTATATTCGAGACGTGAACGATTTGGCTGTTTTGGCGAGCCCCTTTGGCGATTGGAGGAAAGAACCCGTATCACTACGATCCTTCCTCTTCTTCTAACGCAGTTATATTGCTATCTGCGAATGGAATAAGAGGAAGACTTGCGATACCGAAATTCGAGGTTTTTTCAACCTCCGCGGGATTTACGAAAAAAGTTTTTTATGTTTGGTTACTTTCTTGGAAACGAAATTTAATTATTTAGATTCTGAAAAGCAAATATTTATTAAATTTTGAAATTGAATTATGTTATTAAAATATATCAGACAGCATTTGTGTTTTTTCGATAATGGATATTGTGATTGTGCCCTTATTAGTGGATTACTTTTTCTTATGGATATACAAAATAATACAAAACAGGGGGAGAAAGAGTAAGTAACTAATTTGATTTGAATAAATATTTATATCTATTTGTAACAAATATTTTTATTTAATTATAGCGAGTGTTCTATCAATTTTTAAGGTTTTAAATTTCAGTATTTAAATCTTATTCGTAAGATAGTATTAACAAATAAAACATTTTTCATCATTAAAAAATAGCGTTAAGAATTATTGCTCAAAAATTTTTGATTTATTTTAAAGTGATAAAAAAAATTTAAGAATAAGATTTTAAAAAAATATTAACGAAAAATTATCAGCCTGTTTTCCTAATTAAAAACTGATGATAATATGAAAATAATTCAATAAAGAATAACAAACTTCTATCTAAGAAATATTTACGAAAGAAAATAACACCAGCACTTATAAAATATTTAAATTCAATTCATAAATTTTTTTTAACTACATTTTCTTAAAATGTGTAACAGAAAAGAAAATTTATCCAATTAATTTGAATTATTTATTTCCGTATTCCAAAATTATTTCTGTATTATTATAACAAGCGAAAATAAAAGAATCAAACGATTTTATTTTATTTTTCTTACATATGTAAACAGTATTACCAAATCTTATTAATATTTTCTTAAAAGATTTACAAGAAACACAGTTAATTTGTTCGTTATTTTCTTTAAATATGTGCAAAAAAAAAANAAAAAAAAAAAAAAAATTTACAGAATTTTATTTACTTCACTTTACAAGTATATACATAAAAAACTTTCATCATTTTAAAATTGTTTTTATTTTAAATTAAATATATATGTTTTAAATATTTGTATTAAATTGGTATTATGGCATGAAATTTATATTTATTTAAATCGGTTTCTTGAATTAATTGGAGGTTTTAAAAACGCAAGAGATTTTTCAAGTGTTTACAATTTTGTTTGAATAACAAAGAATTTAATCATGAATTAACAGGTGAGGTGTAAATGAGACATGTGAGTGACTATTGACTTAATTAACTTATGCTCTCAATTAACACCATTTTTCACACCGTCCCGCAGCTTCGAATTTTATTATGGTGTTAAGCGATCACCATAAATAAAAATAAAAGAAGCTTTATGTAAGTTTACTCAAATCTTTATTTACAATGTATATAAAAAAATATTTATGTGTATATTATATGAAAAAACTGTAAGGTAAGAGTTAGCAATCTTTTTCGAAATAGGACCGCAGAAAATTAACTTCTCATTTTCGAACGACGAAAAAAAAATCAGTTTTCAAACAATTAATAATAATTTCAGTAATTATTTTAGTATGCAATAAGTTCAAAATCGATTTGTCGTAAAAATTAAAAGGCAAATAACACTAAATTGTATATTGCTTTTACATTGTATATGTGTAATCTTTCTAAATTAAAAAGCGTTCGACGTTTTGTACACTTAAACTCGAATAAAATTTATAACAGTTTTGATGACTTTATCTGTATAATAATAATAATTATATTATAATTAATAAAAAAATAATAAATTATAATTTTATTAATAATTACTATAGGAAAAGAGTGATGATTTTATTTTTTCCCCTATAGTAATTACTTAGATCTTTAATTTTCAAATAAATCCTGAACTATAAATGTTCTGAGCGTGTTATTATTAAAAGAAACTTCCTTTAAATCTTGTGACATTTAAAATTAGTACTTATTTTGAAGCTTATAGTATTTTCTTAGTAAAAAAACCAATATTGGCAGTAGTTTATTTGATTGAAGGGCTCAACATTGATTATTCGAGTGCCGTATCTGTCTTTAGACCCGCAGGTTCCGCTGTAAGAACTAATGTTTTAATAACACAAATAATCTCTTAGAGCCATAATTACATCTAGGTTTAGTACTTTTAGCACTTTTAGTATAACACTTTTGCGATACCAATATTGAATCATATTATTTTTCATTCTTATTGAACTCTAAAAATGTATTATGGCTTGTATCAACAAATTATCTTCGATAAACATTACAAGAAATTGAAACCAATTTAATGTGCCTGTGGATTAAAGAATCCAATTTAGCTTTTAGTAAGTGATAATGTTTTCTGGAAGGAACTTCCAAGACGAAAACTGAAGCAAAATTATATCTTATTCCTCGTAAAGCAACGAAGATCAATCCAAATGTCACTTAAAACTTAAAAGGAAAATAATGTTTCTTTAGTTATGTCATCCGGTTTCGTGTTTTAACCATTTATTTCACTATAAACATAAAAACAAATTAATGTGTTGTATAATAAATATTTTTTTATTAATATGTTTATGATGTAAAAAATAGTGAGTAAAAAGGTTCGTTTTTTAGAGGGTGTTACGCAAGGACCCTTCTAATTGTAATTTTAGAATCCATATCGAAAATGAAAATTGTAACGCACCAGGGCTCGTAATTAACAGTGGTTCGTTGGACCGAAACCACTAAAACTTGACTAAAACCAATAAAAAATATCAGTGATTCAAATCAACAATCGATATAACGAAAGAGTGTGCTGTTTTGGTTTTTTGACTTTCAATTTCTAATTATATTGTCATAAAATAGCATTTTCATCATAATAGTGAACATTACACATTATCTGTAATGCAATTTTTTTAAAATTTAAATTAGCTTTATTATTATTTATAACAAGAATAATAATGATTAACAAAGATATGTAAACAGACCAGAATAAATATGAACGGACTAGTATAATCACTGGTCCACGGACCAGTATCTAAAATTTTTTTTTATTTCCTACCCTTGCAATACACATTGTTAGAACTTGTAAATAAATATTTAAATGTGCAAAAAGAAAAACAAGTTCGCAAAATCTGGAATTGTGTCTTTGGCAATCAAACTGGTTTTGATGTTTACAGACCAGTCTTCCCCAGCAGTGCATTCACTAGAATTCAAAAGCAATTTCTTTTTTATTGCTTACATACTTGTGATTTCTCAATGAGCATTTTTCTTTTGTCTATATTTTTGCCAAAGATACTGAAATGTATATTAAAGGCGGTTAATACGGAACATCCTTTATTAAGTAATTCTACGCGCGATATTAGAGGAAAGTGCCCTTTTCTTTTCTTTAAATAGTGATGCAAAAAAATCGGGATTCCGAAGAGAAAAACGGAGTCATTTATATAATGCCATACATTTCCGAAAACTATCCTCCTTTCTTATGAAGATTGCTTTCTGGAAAAGCCTTTTCACAAATCGCAAAATCGATGAAGGGGCATTTGGCATATTATTGCGCTTTTCTTTGCTAACGACGAAATTAACAAATCGCCAAGCGCCTCAATTGTAAAAACGGAGCGCTGCATCTGTTTCGATTATTTCTCTCTGAGAAAATAAGAAATGATTCTTCATTGTCATTATCTGAAAAGGCTTTTAAAAACTTGATGATTTTGAAAAGAAAAAGTTCTGCTATAGCGCCTTAATGATTTGCGATACGAAATATTTCTTATTTCCATTAACTTACATAACTAACGACATATAATTAAAAAGTATCTAGTTTGCAATTAACATATATTTGTATTGTGTAAACATCATATTTAATTCCTTTTTTTTATACATCATTAGTATTTTACTATGATTAAAACAATAATGATTTATTGTTAATAAAATAAAGTATTCTATTTATTTTTACTTTAGTAATAAAGTTTATTTTTTTTCGCAATTTGAGAAAATATGAATTTTGCGACAATTTAAGTAAAATGTCAATTTTTTTTTTCTTTCTATACTACTGGATAAAAATAGCAATGGTTAATTTTAAAAAATTATTTTTATTTATTTTAAGTTATAGTTAATGATGCATTTTTAACTCTTATTCTTAAATCATTAAAAAACAATTAATTTACATAAATTTTTACTCTATACATAATTGTCATCAACTTTTTGAAATAGAATAAGTTTAACTTTGTAAATTTAGAATACGCTTTGTTTTGTAAACTCTTATTTATGTAATTAGAAAATAAATTTTAGGTCTTATAAAAAATAATCGGATTTTTTTCTCCTTCGATATCATCGATTTTCGTCAAAATTTGAAACCGGTGCTAAATCAGTATTTTTGATTATATGGAGTCCCTGGCCAAATTATTAAACGCACTATAAGCTTCTATGTAAAATCTTAATTATCAGGCGAAACTATACAGCATTATTGTACTTACGCGGCTGAAACCGGTTTATACTTGTTAGAATCGGTTAATCTAGAATCGGTTAATGTTGTAATGCAATACGCTAAAAATAAATACAAATAGGAAGTATATGGAAAATCTTCTGAATAAAAACCCATTACATGTATGCTTAAATATAAAAGTATGGCATAGAAATTCGTGCAAAACATGTCATTATTAAAACACTACAGTGCGTCTCATAATTTGGTCTCATTATTATAATATACTAATATAATACCTGATATAATAAATATTCAATATTTATTTAATGTATCGTCAAATTTATATTATATATCGTCTAATTTAACCCATCGATACACGAACGTCAACAAGCGCAAACCGGTTTCAGTCGCATAAAAACAATAAAGCTGCATAGTATCAACTGATAATTGAGACTTTACATAGAATCTTACAGTGCGTCTGATAATTTGGTCTCATTATTATAATATACTAATATAATACCTGATATAATAAATATTCAATATTTATTTAATGTATCGTCAAATTTATATTATATATCGTCTAATTTAACCCATCGATACACGAACGTCAACAAGCGCAAACCGGTTTCAGTCGCATAAAAACAATAAAGCTGCATAGTATCAACTGATAATTGAGACTTTACATAGAATCTTACAGTGCGTCTGATAATTTGGTCTCATTATTATAATATACTAATATAATACCTGATATAATAAATATTCAATATTTATTTAATGTATCGTCAAATTTATATTATATATCGTCTAATTTAACCCATCGATACACGAACGTCAACAAGCGCAAACCGGTTTCAGTCGCATAAAAACAATAAAGCTGCATAGTATCAACTGATAATTGAGACTTTACATAGAATCTTACAGTGCGTCTGATA